CCTCAGCCTTCCAAGTAGCTGGAACTACAGGCGCGCGCTACCATGCCCGGCTAATTTTTCATTTATTGTAGAGACGAGGTCTTGCCAAGTTGCCTGGGCTGATCTTGAACCAATCCACTCACCTCGGCCAGCTGGGTGACAGACTGAGCCACCACGCACGGCCGAAATGATCTTCTTTCTTTTTGAATTGGAGTCTCACTCTGTCACCCAGGCTGGAAGGCAGTGGCCGCTCCTGGCCACCGCACCCTCGACCTGCTGGGCTCCAGCAATCCTTCCGCCTCAGCCTTCCAAGTAGCTGGAACTACAGGTGTGCGCTACCATGCCCGGCTGATCTTCTTAAAATATAATAAATTGTATGATTTTGTCTGCATCTTTTGAATAGATTTTATTTGTAGAATGTATCTTTTGTCGTGTCATCAAAATTGCAACACTTATAATATAGTATATTATGCAAAATGGACCTGTTCCTTCATTCAAAGCAGTTACTTGTTAACAACCATATTAAATGGCTGATGAATTCAAGAAGCCACATTATGTTTCATCTTCACATTTCAGTTGGTTACTTATAATAATTGTTACTTATAATAACTGTGTTTTAGCTACTCTTGAGAAAATTGGTTGGGGTTGTAGTTTGACACATAATGTATCAAAATTTGTTCTGTTAAAATAATGGAGCTAGGTAATGTTTCCACGCAAAAAGTTTGTTTTATCAAAGACAGAGCATTGATGTTAAATGGAAGATCTTGTATAGTGATATTTTTAGTGAGTTTTTTTTAAGAACATGCAGCAAAAATAATTTTTTCAGGGCATGTCTTATTAATTTTATTCTTGAAGAAAGGAGACTACAGTCATCATTTCTAGGCATCTCTTAGAGCAAACTCACTGTAAAGTAAAAATATTATACAACTGAGGAGAAGCTTGTAAAGTTGTCCACTAAGTCAAAGTTAAGCTATGATGCTTGGAGAGAAAAACGTAACGGACTATGGGCAATATTTGTTATTATGACACTGGTGGGTGTCACATGATGTCAAGGACAAAAGCGCAAAAGAGTAATTACTATCATGCCATGTGAATATTATGAAATATTTAAGGTGCATAAAGATACTAATAGAAAATACAGCAAGCACTTGTGAACCCATCATCCAGCCTGAAAAATGGAATGCTACAAATAAAGTTAAAGCAAATAGATAGTCTAACATACACTTAAATAAAATATCTGGTGTGTAGAATATGAAACACATTCCAGTAGCTGTGATCTGTGATGCACACACAGGAGGAAGTGTTGGACAACTTATTATTCTGCTTATCACTGAAAAAATTAGATTTTTTTTTTATGGCACAACGTGGAGCAGAAAAGTGTGATGGAGTGAGACAGAAGGCACAGTAGCTATCTGTGCCACGCAAAGGGTGTTGATAATAAAAGAATGAAGGCTTCCAGGAGTTCAAGACCAGCCGTGACAACATAGTGAGACCCTATTTCTACAAAAAAAATTTTTTTTTTTTAATTAGCCCAGCTACTCAGGAGGCTGAGGTGGGAGAACTGCTTGAGCCCAGGAGCTTAAGGCTGTGGTAAGCTGTGATAGCGACACTGAACTCCAGCCTAGGTGACAGTGAGACCCTGACCAAAAACAAAAAAGGAGGGAGGAGGAAGCTTCAAAATCAGAATGGGCAGAGAAAGACTCCTTGACATCCCCCTTCCTTGTCTAGTCTTCAGAATACGCTGCGCTCTCCTCTGCCCCCCAATTCAACAAGTGTCATAGAGGGGAAGGGGCAGAAAGGCATAGCTAGTATGGGAATCCCAGCAAGAGGGAGAAAGTCCTGATGAAAGGGGTTGGTGGAGTAAGAAGAATTAAAGAGATGCACTTGACTGTCCAGCCATAACTCCTTTATT